CCCAAACAGGGTTCCCCCTCTCAAAAGGAGGGGGCGAAACTCCTAGGATATCCGTTTATCCCTCCGGGCTTAAACCTTAAAACGTTTAGTGGAGCCTTTAAAGTTATGACATCGTGGCGACGTCTATAAAATTGGCAGCTCCAATACAAGCAATAAACATCGTTCAGGTGATGTACTATTTAAAGCACGCGTAGGAGTGTTTTATCACATATAAAACACGACGCGTAGCGGAGTGTTTTATATGTGATAAAACACGACTACAAGTGCTTTAAATGGCTTCAAAAACGACTCATCTTATACGAGTTCATTGGTGAAGTAATTTTTAAAATAAACTTTGTCTAAACCGAGAAAATCAAAGCTAAAGTTTATGTAAATTAACATGATTTTTTATCACATATAAAACCACGACACGCTTATGATTTTTCTTTGTGTTTTCCTCCAGAATTATTGAGTTTTTGAATTGACTGTAATGCTATTTTTTCACAACATTTCTTTCAGCTATCAAAGCTTCGTTTGTGGAGTGTTTCAAAGTGTTTGACAGGAATGCAAACGGGACAATTGGCTCGGCAGAATTTCGACAGTTGCTCACTAATCTTGGTGATAGATTGACCGACGAAGAGGTCGATCTACTCATGGCCGGGCATGAAGACCAGAATGGACAGATACATTACGAAAATCTTGTAGCCTCCATTACTTCGGTGTAAAAATATTGGAAATGATTGGAACTGATTTAAGCTAGATGATGTAAATAATTCTGAAATATATTCATGCATACGCGCAATCAAAGTTGTTTGCATTCATTGTTTGATAATTCCATTTCTCATGAATTATTAATGTCATAATTCATGAGAAATCATGACTGAAAAAGCGTCTGATCTGATACGACATTCTTCTTATTTTCATTAGTTTTTTAAATTCATTTTTCTTCACAAAAAATTATTCATTACATCAAGATTATTGAAGAATAAAGACGTTGATATCTTATACTACAACATGACCTATAGTGCTATACTAGTATATATTATTACATAATTTATATTTCATTCAACGGCGATTTAATACATTTTTTTCGTTATTTTTTATTTGACTACCATTTTACTACATTCGTCCTCTTCAATATTCATCAAATATCAAATATATGAATGGTGATTTTCACTGATTTACTGATTGAGAATTTTCAAGCCAAGGAGTATGATGTACAAAAGAGACAAACAGACTATAAACATATTTTCTGCCACAATTTTATTTTACACAAGGATGTTTGTTTAAAAATTGTTCTACAAATTTCTGTTGATCACCCTGCAGTTCTATAAACGTGCCACGAGAAACACCCCCAACACCCAAACGTTTACGCAGTTCTGCTAGCAACACTTCAGCATTCCCACTTACATTGGAAACTACAGTAACTTTTTTGCCTTTAGAGCGATTTTCGTAAGTTATTGGCAGTTTCCCTTTCTTTGTCCGTGCCACAGTATATTCCTGAGCTCGTTCTGAGCTCTGAGGAAGTTCTGTGGGGGAAATATCGTCTTGCATTTGTGCTTGAGCACCAGTGGTAGTTGTTTCATTACTTTCTTGTGTAAATGTGGTTTGTGTTTCATTTGCAGCTGTTGGCAAGAAGGCAGCAAAGGTTAGTTCAGCCGGCCGGCCTTCGTATTCCTCTCTTCCATCGCCAGATTTTTTCTTGCCCCTCTTTGGCATGATTTATTTGACAAAATAACAAAATATTCACTCTTACGAGGACGCCATTTTGTTTTGATATAAACAAAATTTAAATGCTTTGTTAGAATATCATCCTTCATACAGGAAGTTGTTCTCTCGTGTTTCACCGGACGCTCCCGTTCGCATAGAAATCTTGTGTCGGTATTCGGTGCATGTTACTGTATATTACGAAATTGTAAATGTGTCGTGGGCTCGTTTTTTTGCCAGCTATTTATCGATAACATTGATGTAAACCAGAAATGAGCAACTTACATACCGAAGTTGTACGCATGTGCGGTGTGCAAATTGTAAATAAACAAACCCGTCAGATTGTCAAAACATAAACACACGATTTGCTTTGAATTTCTGCGAGGGAAACGTACTGAGAGGTGGAAAATGTGTGTATATTGTGGTTCTTCTGGTTTTCTGCAGTGTAGAGAAGCGGGGGTAATGCAAGAGCTGTATAAACGAAAAGAATTAGACTTGTTTTGAGCGAGAAATATTTATCGAGAATGGATGTCACGGAATTATTTCGCTGTTGTAGAACCGGTGACATTGAAAAACTTAGGTATGTATTTTCATGCAGAATTGTAGTTCTTTGTGCAATGTTTTTGTTGTATCTTCTGCATTTTGCAGGCTTTTAAATACACTGTAAAATGTCTGCATGTCAGCTATGTAAAAAATGTTGTTTTGTCTGTTTTATAGTGTGTTTATATATAGAACACTACCTGCATATACCGGCTAGTATTAACGTAACATGAATTTTATTATTCAGGAGGTGTCCACAATTTAGAACTCGTTCCATGATTATTTTGCCCCCTCGTTCTACAATACAATGGATTGGTTAATTATTAACTACAAACACTCTTTCCCTAATCATAGAGTACAAGTCTGCTGAATATCAATTATATTGTACTTTATATCAATAGACCTATATATACATTTTAAATAGATATATGTTTTAATTGGAGGACCTCCCTGAAAATCATGTTAAGCATGACGGGCTCTGTAAAGATTACATATTATTATTACAATGCAGAGGTCAAGTGTTTGTAGCAGTATTGTACAATAACTAAACTGCCGTGGTTTGTGTCTGAACTACCTGAAAAAAAATCAAAAATATCAATGAATGTTTTTTTGAGCATAACTCTTCATCATCACCATTGCTCAAAACATCAAAATATTTTCAATCTTATTCAGGTGATTCTGACCAAAACCACCACAGCTTACAATAACAAGAAACAATTTCCATATTATAATAATGGTTTAATGGTTTAATAAGGCATTTCCACATTACATGGCTATTCATCAAATATTATGTTTAAAATATGATTTATGTGACAGGTATTTGATAGATGGTCTGCAATAACAACCTTGACATAATAATTTGATTTATTTGACAGGTATCTGATAGATGTAAAAGATATTGAAGTGAATGTCAGAGATAATTGGGACAGCACTCCATTGTAAGAAGCCAAAATTAGTATACTGTGACTTGCTAACCCATTGAGTGCCAGTGCTCGAGCCCCTCCGACAAATAAAACTGTCTGGCATTAGACAGAGTAAAATAATAAAGTAGAGCAATGCAAGTTAATGGGTAAATTAAATCTGGGCTGGATGACCATGTCATCAATACACCCTTTCGATAATCACCTTGCATAATTTACTAGTGAGAGCGAGGCTCCAAGACCAAAAAGTATGTGTGACGTAATTATCGAAAGGGTGTATTGGACTCCATTGTCATGCTATGACCGTTCCCTACATTTTTTAGTTTTTCTTCTAAAACCTTATGTTTCAGAGGGTTTGAACTAAACCTGGGTTGAACCTGGATTAGGCATGTAAATTTACATGTAAAAACTAACCCTGGTTAAAGTTATCACAGGTTGAAGCTGGGTTACTTTTCATAGTGTGAATTGGGCCTAAAACGTTCTTGTCTTTGACAGATATTATGCTTGTTTGTGTGGCCATGAAGATATGGTTGAACTTCTCTTGAAGAATGGTTAGCATTATTGTATTTCATTGGTTAACATTTGGTAAATATTTTGCAGTAGAGGGTCACATTAACACAGAATGATAAATCATAGTATGATAGGACATGTTATTGTACACTACAAAATCTAAAATGTGCACTGTAGTCACCATTCAAATGATGTGAAATAGGCTGGAAGTATGCATCTTGTATGCTGCCTGCAAATATGTATATTGACACTCTATAATAGATCAATTACTTTGTTATATATTCACGACAGTTATTACAACCTGAAAGCCAGGTAGGTTTTATCTTGTAGAGTAGTACAACATCCATCGTTACAAAACGACTTAGACAGCTTATACAATTGCACATAAACTCGTTATAAAACATTCCTTGCATCTCGTTCTTGCGCGCCATATTTCTATCGCGGAAAATGCTCATTTTTAATACACCAACGCAATCATTCAACAGGATCTCGTTGTGAGGCGCACACATTTGACGGAGAACGATGTCTTTATGGTGCATTGACGGATGATATCAGGAGAATCCTACGAAGATATAACGCTATCAACTCAGATTTCATGAGACGAGAATCATACGACGAGTTTTTACGAAGGTAAATTAACAAAGATCTATGCAGATCCTTAAAAAGTTTTTAGTGATTAGAGTACCGTTGTAGAATGAACTAATGAAAATTTGGGACGGTGTATATTTGTTTCCGAATGGGCCCGAATTTCGAAAGACCTTCCAGTTTGATTGAATCGCGTCTTTGAATGCGTTGCCTGCGCGCTTTTGCGTTCGAATGAGTTTTACTTTGAAACGCAACTGGAACGCAGTTGGAAGTTAGTTTGAAAGCGTTACGAAGCAGCTGACGGTGGCAGGGGCCAAGTTAAGAAACACGATATTCCTTAACTCCGGTCTGAATGTCGCAGGCTAACTGAAACTACTGCAATTTCATGTTTCATGAAATTTCCTGGCAACACCCTGGGTGGTCAACATTGGAAATCGTGCATGACAGTTGCAGGAGAAAGAGTCTAAATCTCTCTCTTTTAGTAATGGACCACCAAATACAAAACCACTACATTTAACGAAAGTGATGAAATTATTTTCTCACTTTGATAACTCCAGGTGCACGATAGTGCTTAGTGGAATCTGCAGATCTCAAAGTGCTTTAGGCTTGCGTGAATCTATCCCAAAATGTCTATTCTTATTAAAAATTCAGTCGTCTTTTCTTCAAACAGATCATTTGAACAAGGAATGTTTGCAGATATTTATTTTGTGGTCCACGATGAAACAATCCCAGCGCACCGTGCGATCTTGGCGACAAGGTCTGCTTACCTCGCGGAAATGCTACAAACTAAATGGTCAGAGAAAATGGTGTTTTTCCCGAGAACAGCTGAGGTGGGTGTTTTCATGTATTAAGTATGTCGCACACCCAAAGACCTCGCGTTGTATTGCCTGTATTGATTCAACTTTCTATCGTTCTAGTTTAACCCTGGACAATTTCGAAATATGCTCAAATACTTCTATACAGGTAGGTCTATGCAGAACGATTACAAAAACAATCTTAACATGCAATGCAGTCTTGTTCTTATTTTTCAGGTACAGTTGTAGCATCATACGAGGCATCATGCACACAAGCCCGCAAAGTGAATTCTCCGCTTAGATTTACACCCAATGGGGTTTCAAACGAATTAAAAGTTTTTATCTTTTCAGGCAAGCTGGATGTTCCATTTGAGGAATACGAAGCGTATCTTTATCTCGCTCTGCAGTTTGAACTTTGGCAGCTGACGAAATTGATTAAATCGCGTCTGGAGAAGGCAAAGACATATGGTTTGTACATTTAGGATTCAGAATTCTTGTGACTGATGGTGTACATTGCACCAGAGACCTTAGGTTCGATTCCCGCTTGGGACAAGTTGTTCGATTTCATTAATTAGACACCACAACTCGAAAGTTTTGAACTATTAAAATTTAACTAGTGTAATTCTGGTTCTTAGGTGCGTCAAAGCGCGGTTTTGTACGAGTGAGCATGATCAGTATTGATCCAGCCATGGAGGGAAAGAATCTTAAAGAAGATTTTACCAAACTTGCTGAAGTTGCTTTACCTGAACCTTTTAGATCACAGGTGAGATCGTAATACACGCACTAAGTAATTATGAATTTCCGGCAAACAATTGGCCCTACAACAATACAAACAATGTAATAATGGTGCCAGCTAGTCCCGATCATTGAACTGAATAGAACTGGAATGCTACCTCCAACCGGAAATTTGAAGCCAAACTTGAAGACCAGTCCCAGTCTTTTCACGCATACGAAGAGCGCTCATTCAGTCAATCATGATCATAAACACGCGAGTCTTAACCTACGGGGTCAAGATTTGGCTTCAAAAAAAAGATCGGTTCATTTCAATGGTCCCGATCAAGTGATCGAAATATTCCTGATTGTCTTTTCATTGTTTTGCCATGTCATCCAGTCTCTCATTGTTTTGATATATTTGTGACGTACAGTATGCAAAGAACTTAATGTTATTTTTTTCATTTCAGCAACTTCCAGAAGAATCGATGTTTATTTCACAGTTATTGGGTGCGTGCCTGACAGTGGCATAGCCAGCCCGACAATTAGCCCTTTCCCAAAAGAGGTCACAGTGCATTCTGGGATCGTTTGGAGGGACAAAATATATGGTGACAGGCGTCAAATATGTGAAAGAGTAGAAGTATCTACTATATCAAATATCAACTTTTTAGACGACCAAAAATGAAATATTTCCTTTTTACATTCAACTTTTAATTTAAATGTGTGCTGTCATATTTCTTATCCTTCCAACATGGGATTCGCACGACTAGACCCAGGACTTTGGGAAATGGCTAATTTAGTCCCGCTATGCAAATTCAAAATTATTATCATTATTCATTTCTTTAGAAATTGATTGTTTTCACATTCAATGAACACGAAAATATTTGCATAGCGGGACTAAATCGTCGGGTTGGCAGCTACTGGTGCCTGACTGTTCGTGATTCTGATCAATTTTCATTCAGTTATGATTAATAAATGATCATGTTTATCTTCAGGTGATGTTGATTATGAACTTGATGATTTCTCGTCATTTTCTGATGTTTGTTTTGATGTTCAAGGTTACGAGTTTTATTGCAACAAGGTAGGAACCTCCGAGAGTTAATGCGAACTATAACCATGTCATGGTAACTTCCATCTTCCCTCCCAGGTATTTTTCTGTCATCGCAGTGATTATTTCAAAGCGTTGTTCGAGTTCTCTCAAACTGCCGCGACCAATCAAGATCTTGAAGATGACTGTCGTATCACTATCCATGACGTCACACCAGCAGTGTTTGCAGTTGTTGTCGCCTATCTATACATCGATGACGCTGAGGTAACGTGAGATAGTCCTGGAAAGAAGTAGCCTGAAGTGGTTCTGTTGTAATATAACATACTAACCAGATCTATTTATACTGCATAGTTCTATCAGTTCTAAACTGTTAATATTCGCTCTAGATATCCATCAAGGGCTATCCCTATTCGTGCAGTGTTAGTACGGAAAAGACGTAAACTAAACCAACACTATTTGTGCTAGAAAGCTTTATCAGTTCCCAACTGTTCCCTCTAGAAGTACAGAAGGGCAGTAACTTATTTTCCCAGTGTTATCCCAGGAGAAACTGGAGTTGACCAAGGGAAAACATGGTAGAAATATGTCAGTCCAGATTCCCTCCCTATTATTTCGCTATGTACTCAACAGACTTCCCCGAAGATTCATAATGCGTTTCCATCCTTCAGATTCCATGTGACTTTGATGAAATTTATGACGTGATTTGTGCGGTTGAAATGTACTTGCTGCCTGGTTTGAAGCGACATTGTACCAACGCTATGATAGAAATACTTGATGTAAGCAATGTTCTGGAGGCTGTTCGTGTAAGTAGGACTTTCGCAATGCCCAGACTGGAATCTGAATGTTGTCGTTTCATCGCGGAATATATGGATGAGGTGAGGGTAAACTTTTGATTTTTGATACAAGTCAGGGATGGATTTATTGGGGGGTGCACACCCCCTAGCCCTGAACAACAATTACAATTCAAATACAGTATGTTGATTGGCGGGCGGTACACATGACCGACACCACTCGGCACCAGAGCTGGCAGAGCACACTACCCTACGAGATCATGCTGGATCCGTCTCTGATACAAGTGAAGCTATCCAGTATAAAGTAAAAGTTATTTCCTAGATGGTGAACGACCCAGGGTTGATTGAATTGATTGTTGAAGACGCGCGAAGCATTAAGGGAAGACAAGAAACAGACTCGATTCCTTTAGTGGACGACATTCGCTCTCATCTCTATAATTCATTGCTTCCCAACTACTTTGGTAACCAGACCTCTTCTTCTGAGTACAGGCTTGAAGTTCTGGAGAATTTGTTGAAAAATATCGGTCTGGATTGTTAAGTATCCTGATTGTTATATAGATTTTATAAAGCTTTAGAAATTACATGCGCACTTTTAGGGCCCTTTTAGGCATTTCAAATTTTTTCTCTTGGCTCTCATTATGGTGGTAGGCCGTTGCAGAAACATTGTTTCCTAGCCCTATTTCCCAAAGGTTAGTGACAAACCTGGAAACATTGTTTTGTGGTCATGTTTCTTTCAAAGTGGACAAAACAGGAAATGTTATTCCCTAGCTATCTTTCCCGAAGGTCGAGAAATCGGTCCTGGGCATGATTCCTGAAGGTAGGCAAACCAGGGAAATTGAGGGAACATTGTTTCTGCAGTTTTCTTGTATTTATATTAGGCTGTATATCTATGAACATATAACCGGTGTGTCTAGCTTTTTGTTAATTAACACTTTTGTAGGATTAATTATTTGCAATGTATGGTAGTGTATAAAAGTATACATAAATAGTTAAATATAATTGGAGTCTTTGTCCGCATTGAATTCGGTCAAAAGGTTAGCTTGATTTTGTAGTAGAATATAAATTATGGTAAGCATATGTAAAGTGATGTTAAATGAAAATGATTTCAATATATCACCACTTAAAAATCACAGCATTTTTTGTGCTTGAAAAGCGTGTCTTGGCTGGTGTGACTGTAAACCACAATGCTCAATTGGCTTTTCCAGGCTCAGATTTTCTTGATTAGGCTGGTCAAAGTTTGTTTACATTACCAAAATGTAAGTACATAAAATTTACAGACCATAATGCATTGCGATTTCAAGATGTGCTTGCTTTTTGCGAAAACGACTATATTGCGTAGATACATTAAAACTACGCAAGTTGAAGTATTTTGGTGCGGTCGTGATATTTTGCGGGCTCTGAAGTAAAATTCAAAAGATGGCGGTTGCGGGAAGCAGTGATGAAAATTTGCCGACTTGTTTGAACGAGAAAAACAGTCCTGAAATAACTCTAAATAATAATTTTGCACAGAAGGAGAATTGTAAAGACTTGCTCAAAGTTTGCCCGGAGCGAGGTGGGTAGAATTTTGTAAGAATAAGTAAGATTTTAACTTGAATTCGGGCTGATGTAAACTATATTAAAGTGATTGACTGGGTAACATAATATGTAGCTGGTATTTAATGGTAAATTATTCGGGTTTTTTTTTTCAGAATTCGACAAATATTTACTAGAGAAGAAGAATAAAAAAGTGGATGTACAACACAAGACATTCAAGCCTTCAGCATGCCAGGGTACGTAGCTTCCAGTTTTTGTGGCTTGCTGGTCAGCGGCTGGGCACTATCTTACACTCAACAAGGATGAGAGTCAGGGTGTTCACAACTTCAAAAATTGACGCTAGGTTGAACCATAGTCAAACATTTCACAATTGTTTTCTGAGTTCGAATTTATCTCCGGAAACCTTTGTTCATGCAGTCATTGCCAGGGTGCATTCCATGTAAACTCAACGCCGAAGATGCTCCAATATTAACTATAGATAGTATTGTAATTTGCCAAACTTACGCCGAAGATCTTTCGGCGTATTCCACTTAAAATGCATTGTCATTGCCACAAGGTGGCTGTTCATACAATTCCAAAACCTTCATTTTGTGCCTGGATAAGTGCCCAAGATTATAGTACAAATTATTTATTTGAATTACTAAAATCTATCTTTCATTTCCATACAACATTTATAATGAATATTTACAAAAATAAATGGTAAAATAACTAAAAGTCTATAGTTTATATTATAATGCATTAAGCCCCAAGATTTATTCAGGGGAAAACTTTAGCACCCTTGGGAGTAATTCGTCACAACTTTTATACCCTTACCTGTCCCCCAAACCCTTTAAATTTCATTGTTTTTATAACCTGGTTGGTCATGTTTGTGCCTTTGATTGTCTCTTGATGTGCCCTTGGGAACTGTTTTGTGCCCCTGCCCACAAATTTGTAGCTTTTGCACCTCCGAGATCTTGTCAAAAACTCTGCAGTCTGGTGCATTAATAAGGAACATGAACGATTAGCAATCTATTACTGATAAAAGTCTCGGTCCTCATTTGCTTCAAAAGTACAAAACAATGGACAAGAGGAAAACAGGTAACATTGAAAATGTTTCAATGTTAACTGTTTTTGGAGTGTCCATTATTTTTTAAAATTTACTCTGTGGTAACCGTAAGTTCATTTGCTTCATCATCTGCATTTTTGCCAACACTCTTCTTTTTTGGCAGTCGTAAATATTTACATTTTTGTGCCATCGTCGCTTTAATTGCCTTGGGTGTAACATCCGGAAATCTTCTTTGAACATTATCTGCAAAAAATATTTTAAAATTATCAGAAACAATTTTTTCTCCCCTCCCCCTCCAGACGGCAGAAATTTCCTCCGTGGGGGGAGTGTGGATCTTTTCTGGAACGACCCATTTTATACAAAAAATATTACAAAATATATTATCAATGTTTCCATACAAGTTAATAAAGTAGTTACAAAATAACATTACTTAACATCTTATATTCAAATACAATATATATGAAACTATGAAAATGTTCATGTCAATCATTTTTCAATCTGTTCACGTTTTATCATCAAACTTAAAGCTGTTCTTCTTTGCATGTCTTTTAATTTTTGTGCCATCACTTCCCTAATATCCTTAGGGGTTGCTTTTGGAAATCAGTGACAGACATAATCTGCAATTAAGCAATGCTGTTCAGACTAGGTTCACTTCGTCCAAGACCAGACAAAGTTGAGTTCTGTCTGGAGGACTATTTACATAAATTATGTATGGATATACAAAGCAGTGCTGATAATCTTGAAAGGTGTATTCCAGTGTAGGTAGAGCAGATAATACAGAACTTTCAGAATTATTCTGAGTAGGTGTCTGTTTTGATAAAGTAGGCAGCTGTTGGGAGGGGCCAATCTAGGGAGTCTTAAAGTCGTCCAAATTAACTAGTGTATATGGATTAGATCATATGTAACACAACTGAGCTCTGTAACCAACTTATAGATGTATCACTCTTTCATTCTTCAACAAGGTAACATCAAGATTTAAGATGGCAAATAACTAAATCAGTTTTACGAAATAGTATGTTGTTTTCCAAAATAACCAGACTATATTTAAAGTAGACGAGGTTGATGAAAAATAACTTTGTTTGAAAGCTTAGAGTGGAGGAAGCAGATCAAGAATTGATATTTCAAGTGCTAAACAATGAAAGTAACCAGCGGTAAACCTTGTAGCACCTGCCAGAGCTCCAGCGGCCGCCGCCTTATTTTGAAAGCCTAGTAATAAGAAAGCTACAGATTGATAGAGATACAACTACCTGAAAAATACAAGGAGAACTTCCGTCGATGTTTCGAGCCCTTCGTCAGAAAGTTAGTGAAAGATCAAAGCAGTGCTTACCTATAATATACTGAACAATATCTTTGTCGAGGGCTTGTCGTTTCACTCTTCCAGGGCTGCACATACCGGTAACACTTGAGACTTTCAGTACTTCTTTATCAAATAAATGACACAACAATGCCAATGTCATTTTTCTGTATGTTGAGGCATAAGTGACTTCTAATGGTATCGGGCGGGTTAACTGAAATCACAGAAACAATCACAGGTTGATTCTCATACAGTAATTATAATTTTTTACCACACAGTGTGCTGATCTCAAAATGACTGGATTGAGGAAACAGTGTATTATTCTTGCTGATCTCCATATATGACTAGATCTATTAAACATTGCTTATCAACCATTAAGCTGCAGAGCTTCCCCAATAGGCGTAAAAATAAGTAGGGCGCATTGCGGCTCAATGGGTTAAGCAAATAACATTTGCAATTCTGTTGCTTACTGATGTGGAAGTCTCGGGTCTTGGTGAGAGCAAGTTGTTGTTATCTTCTGGGCTGTTGCAAAATGGGACAATTTTCAAACTTTCAGCTGAAGATATTTTGGGTAATATACTGTCTGCTTCGGATGTTGACATGGCAGGTAAGGTCATTGCAAGGTCGGCATCTGGTGTTGATGGTGGGCTACCAGCGTTAGAATGAACACTAACTATACTTGGAGAAGCAACCATAGACATACTAGTATGTGATATGGTTCTTGACACAGGTGTGTTGAGGGGGCTGGTATACTGTGTAATTGCTTCTGACGTGATGCTCGATATAGTTGGTAAGGTGTTCATCGTATCTGTTGTGGATGGTTCATCTTGAGTAGTTGGTTCATCTTGAGTAGTTGGTTCAGATTCTATGGTGGGTGTACCAGCCTCTGTGTTACCATAAGACTCCTTACAATTTGGACATGTTCGCAACTGTGTGATAACTTTACTTGACTGCATTGCATATCGAAGTAGTTGTGGAAGGCCTTGAAAATTAAATAAATATACAACTTCTAGGCAACACAAAGTGTCTACTTATCAAATATACATCTTAGAACCCCCCTCAATAAGAAAGATTTGAGCAGTGGCGGAAATCTCGGGGGCGACTGCGATATGGTACTTTCAAGGAACATCCTGTTTTATATAAAAAATATAAACTGCTCACTTTTCTGTAACGTTTGGTTCAATTTCTGTAATTCTTGTCCCTTTGATTTCTCTACCGACAATTCCTCGACAAGCTTGGATACTTTCCGTTTTAGTCCTGGAACAGATTCGTCCTGACCATCGACTCCATTGTCCAATCTTGGTCTTTTCGACCTGGAGAGAGACATACTTCCAACATCATCCTCAATTAAAAACTCACTTTCATCAGCCAACAATAGGTTTTGATGTTCCTCAAGAAGCTTTCTGTCATCTACAAATATAAAGGATTAGCTAGCTTTACTCAATGTTGAGTTTTTGTACATGGAAATTTTACATCAAGAGCCTAAAAAATAAGTTATTATATCTGGTCACATCCGACACCTGGCTAACCTTTGCACATTTGTGAATGTGTGAATTTTTTAACATGTGACCTATAGATGCCACGCAACAAAGCTCGCTACAAAAACCAAAAAATATTTAATACCACATTAAATTTGATTGAGATGAATAAATCACTAACCACTAACGCAGGCGATGCGGCCAAGTTTTCCCTTATTTTTAACAGTCGATACATCTCCTCGTTGAACAGTCACAAAAGAAATGATGCCTTCTTTGGTGTAATCATAGAGCATGCTTTTATCCCGCACATAGTTTTCTGTTAAAATGCTGCTTTTAATGTTGCCAGAACTCCATTGAACCAGGACGTATTTCATTGCACAAGTTGATGTTAAATGTATGTTGAAAATATCAAAATAGTCCTTCGATCGTGGTGTTTTGATGTTGAGAATTTATTTCACACGCGTGTTCTGTCGAACAAAGACACAACAAATTCTGTGACAAAGAAGCGAGCCTGCTGTTATTTGATAATGTCAGCTGCGTTTATTGGTTACTTTGTGTAGTGTAACGTTGTTGTACCATACTTTATTGAAAGAACGCCGTGCATTGCGTTTTTTCGCTCTTTGTTTTATAAAAAGATATTTTTTAAAATGTAAACATTTGGATTCTGTTTTATTAAAAGTGTTACATTTGACTACTTAGAACAAAGATGATTTTTCTTAAAATGTAACAGTATATTATAAAATTCGAATTCTGAAAAGTAGCTAATTTTTTGCCAAACCGCTAACTCCTCTATCAGCGCTAGCATTTACTGTATCGTACGGTAAACTACAATTTATTTTCTCAAATTTTGATCTTCCATTTAGTGCACACTTGAAAAAATCGCAGTTTTTGGTGCAAATTTTAGTGACCATTGGTTTCGACCATTCCATTTTAACAATCAAAATTCTTTACTAGTTCTCAAACAAGTGAAAGATTTTCTACCAATGATGAAGCAAGCACAAGAGGAACTATCAAGTGGAGAACATAACATAGAGAATGTTGATGAAGATGGACCTTGTATTAATATGGTAATATATGAAGATATATTTGTGTTGGTCCCATCCAAGGAACAGACGAAAAGACGCACAAAAAAAACAAACTTTCAGTACACACTTTTCGGAAGAAAAGTACTCGGCTTTGGCTATTTCGTGATTGTGATTTATGATATATCATTTTAGAGTATCGTACAGTTGATATGAAATGATATCAAGATCTTTATATAGTTAGGTCATTAACAAGATATTAAAGGGCTCTAAAGCCGATATCTCGACAGATTGACTGCTCAGATTGAAGCATGGGAATATCGTGTGAGAATAAAGAATTTTTTTATCGCCGACTGTTTAGCTTTAGATGTAACGAACCCGCAAATACTTGATATGTAATTGTGCTAAATTGTGTCAGATTTGATTTCGGAATGGTTTTGATAATAAAACTTTCTCACTTTAATCTCAGGGCAAAGGAAAAAATATAACCACCTGACCGACAGCTAAAAGAACTCTTTTTGTCAAATCTACCCACTGACGTATGCCAATTTAAAGTAAATTTCAATGTTTCATGTAGGATATACAATTGGTGGAACTGGATAATGAGGAAGACACTTCATCTGAAAGTGATTGCAATGAAGAGACAGACATTGATCTTGGTGAGATCACTGAAACAAACTTGATTTTGAAGAAAGCTGAAAAGATTAAGAAACCGTTGATTGAGGATATTACGTGATCATCATCATGGTTGTTTACAATTTGTCGTATCACAGTATTGCGGTGTTGCGGATGAACGTTCGCAGATAAAAATAGTGTCTATGACTATGCTTGTATGTACCCTGGTTGCCAGAGAATAATAGGGTGGAAGATACGAGAACCTTTGGCAACCAGGGTAGCTCACATGAAACAATATAACGATGTTTGCTGAGAATTAATATTTGACAGCGTTTTATAGATCTGATCTGGTTTTATACAGATGATGGCCCCATCAGCGAATGCTTCTGACACTCCTTACGCTGATTTACTGAGCTAATTGAAAGCTTCATATGCTTTTGGCAAATACTGAAATTTCACGTGAGAATATATAGACGATGTTTTTTTATCTGCAAGTGTTCATGGTTAGGTGCAAATGATGGTAGCTATATGAAGCTCGTGATGTAAGATGAAGTATGCCAAGCGTGCGCTGGCTTGTCTGCAGGCGCATGACATGTGTCATTTAAAAAACTGTGCTGCTTCTCCACAAATAAAAACATTTTTGTTTGAAAAAAATTTCCATTTTCTGGGCAATTTGTTGCCTAACCATGGAGTTGTATCAAGTGCTTGCTGTAGTGTTAGTGTTCGGTGGCTGTATAACGAATACTATGTTTTTAGAAGCTATCGTACGGTAAGTGTTGTAGAACAGACAGTGTATTATTGTTTACAAGTATAAACTTCCGATTATTAACTTTATATTTGAATGATATCTGCAAGCTATATAGGTTTATATTGGGTTATCATCAACACTAAGTTCCTCTTATACTAAAATTGCTCAAATTTTTTGGCTATAAAATTCAAAATAATCCTTTACTAGTAAATAATTAGACATTTACGATAGGTTTCAATTTAAAAAATTCAGCCAATGAGTGTCTGCCAAATTTGCCTGAGCACAAAAATTGAATTTTTGTTTTATTTTATTGCAGAGAGGTTCCAAGTTCTGGAAATATGGTCACATTTTTACAATTTCTGCTCATTTCTGTTCATGGATTTTTCTTTACAACAAAATGTCTGACTGTGAAACCTGCTATTCCCATAAGGTGAGTTTACACTATTTTAAATCAACAAATAAGTTTGGTAAATGATTGTAATTTTCAATTTTGTTTTTTAGATGTTACGCTACAATGGTGTCATATTTCATTGTCGTCAGTTTGTTAAATAACATTGCCCCAAATTTTCACATTCCAATGCCATTGCATATGATATTTAGATCGGTAAGTTACAGAAAAAAGCTTGAAATGGTAGCTTCATTTCTTTTTGTGTGTTGTGTCTACATGTTACTTATTTATTTATTTATTTATTTATTTAGCTTTGCCAACTAGGGCAGGGTCACCACAACAGCATATGCCAATTACTGTGGGCCCTTTTTACCTAACCCACCCTTGTCAACTTTCCCTGTGGGAGGAAACCGGAGTACCCGGGGAAAACCCACGGCTTTCGGCAGAGCGTTGACTTTTGCTCTTTTCACATGAGGACTGGATTCAAGTCGCATTGAGAAGGTACTTAGTGAGATTCGAACCTGCAGCCTCAGAGGTGAAAGGCAAGTGCGCTAACCACTTGGCCACCGAAGCCCCTTAACCGTTACGCCTGTTTACATGACCTTTGTTTGTTTTTAACAGGGTTCGCTGGTAGCCAGTTTGGTTTTAGGAATAATTATCTTAAACAAAAGGTAATTTATAGTGCAGAAAAATCATTTCTGTATTTCATTAGGTTATACCTGATTGATGGGTTATCCACCCAACCTCCCTCCACCCGCTCCCCGTAAGGTAGATTGGATGCCATTGGTTTGGAAAAGAAAATGTCCTGGGGCTGGTTGTATCAAGCCTGTTTAGCTTAAACGGTGGATAAGTCAAAGTTAAATAACACTCTTATATCTCCTGTGAATCAGTTAACTTGAATGTTCTGCACTGAATGCTTAATTGTAAACAATATTCTATTAAGGTTCAAAACTTTTAGTTTGGTTGTTGAATGAATCTATAGACTTGTTTTCTATTTTGAGCTTAACCACCGTTTAAGCTAAACAGGCTTGATACAACTGGCCCCAGGCCTGTACATTGGAGAAGAAATGTACCCATTCACATTTGGGTGGTAGCTATATTACACTCTCAAGATCTCATGTAATAATTGTTACCCAGCCTATATATACTACAGTATGTGTTTGTACTAAAATTAATTTCAATTTCTTTGATATAGCTATAAGCTGAGCACATATCTATCTGTTGTCATGATCACTATAGGAATTACAATTGCAACAATAGTTTCTGCAAAGAATTTAGTAAGTCACAGATTGAACTGTTTTTATATGGACTTGTGTAAAATAATGTAATTGCATGCCAGTACAATAGATAGCATATTTGTTGCATGCTTTTCAAATTAAAATTCACTACTATAATTATTAATTTTTCATATTTAATATCTGTACTATGTGGATATGACAGGCTTGTCATTTTCCCAATTTATTTTATGCATCTTGTAGGATAGTAGTAGTCTTGTAGGATCATCTGGGGACAGTGCTGTTGATATCATGTGGATGGGAGTTGGTAAGTTGTGCTTTATAATTCCCATAGTTATTTTTGCATTTGAGGCATCTTCATATCTCAGAACGTTCTGACAAGTTCAAAGTCCATGACCCCCCCTCCTCCCCATCATATGGTTACCCTGAAACTTTGCTGTACATGTATCTTCCACTGTGATGAGCATGCACAATGGTTTGGTACTTTGCTACATGTATGATAAGTTCCAACTCAACCCCCCCTCTCTCCCCCACTACCCCTCTCCCAATACCCACCTAAATCGCTGAATTTTCATTCTGTGTAGGAGTGGTAGTTCTTGTTGTTTCTATGGTGACAACATCTAGACTAGGAATTTATCAGGTTAGAAAAATGTTCAGTCATGAGACTTGAAATGGTTCAGTTGTCAAAATATATATTTGTATATTTTAGGAGGTACTATATAAAGAATATGGAAAACATCCAAGTGAAGCTTTGTTTTATTCAGTATGTATTCAGTCAAACATCCTCAAGGAGAAATCCATTGAAGTGCCGACTTCAAATGAAATGCATGACATTTCTTGTGGCAAGCAAATTCTTTGAGATATTAAATTTTCTTTTATATCTTAATTTCAGCATTGCTTACCATTGCCCATCTTTTTGCTACTAGCTGGAGATATTTATAGACATATCTTATTATATAATTCATCAGGTATGTTGTCTACAATCTTAATGGACCAGTCTAGGTAGTACTGCAAAATAAGCTGCTGTGGTTTGTGTCTGAACTACTTCTAAGATTTTAATTACTTGAGTGCTTCGGTAGCTGAAGTGTTTCACCCTCGACAAAAAAATACATAGACTAAATGTCTGTATGCTACACAGTACACAGTCTGCACTAAATATATATTCCTTCTATTCATCACAAAGTTCTTATTTCTTTAAAATTATTTCTTTTGCCAGAATATTTAGTATATCAAGGAGTAACCATGTACATTCCCAGACTATGGTTTTACATGATTGGAAACTGTATCACTCAATTCATATGCATTCGAAGTGTATTTGTACTAACCACAGAATTCTCATCCCTCTCTGTGACGCTGGTTGTGACTCTTCGAAAGTTTGTGAGTTTGATGATTTCGATATTCTTCTTTCAAAATCCATTCACGGTGTATCATTGGATAGCTACAGCACTTGTTTTCACTGGGACATTTATATTTCTTGACCTTCATAATCGCTTGCTGCAAATTTGGATGCCAGAGAAGGAAGAGAAGAAGGAACAGTAAATGGAAGTTCCTGTATGTTGGTACTGTTCATTATGTAGTCTTCCAATTATTCATTCACCATTGGCAGTCATCTTGAAATAGAATCTTGTGGTATATAATCTACCACCCTAAACACATTCTCACACCCAAGGCTTCTGCACTTGTGGCTCTCAGAAGCACTGGGTATGAGGTTGCTCTAAACATGACCAAGGCTGGTTTACACTATGGAAGTTTCCTGGTTCTGACTTTCGATTGAAGTATTTTCATATTGCATGATTAAGCTGCAATGCGCTCTACTTTATTATATTACTTACTCTGTCCAATGACAGATTATTTTACTCTGTCTACCGCCCGACAATTCAGGGAGAGTGTTGCCACTCGACGGATAAAATGATAAATCAAATTATTTGAATGACTTTGAACATTCACATACTTTGATCAAACTGTTCTCTAATGAAAGAAACTGATAGTGTTAAATTAACCAACATCAAACTATCAAAGCAGACCAATTTTATCCTTGTACCAAAGAGATTTTTAATTATAATATATAAACAACAATTGATGCTTTATATATTGAAGTACAGTTAACATTAATTTTAGAAATTACAATGTGCAAATTGCATACATAAGTGCTTATTAATATTGAGATGCAACACACACAGCAAAATACTACACAACAACCATCACAATATCACTTGCAAAACTTTGCAGTAAGTAAATCTTATAAGAATGTTGTATTTTGAGCCCAGCGTACATGAGTTCTAGGCACAAACCCTCTCTGCCTAGTTCTAGCAGAATAAACCCAAATCCATGTTAGTTTATCAAGATTTTTATCATCTGTAAATAATTGTTCTCCTTCGTGCACCGTTAGTTCATATTGTCCTCGAGCAATAAAATTTCTGATTGCATTTAGCTGTTTCACACCACATTTCATGGTTTCTCCATCACCAAGGAAGGCCGGTAGTGTCAATTGTGAGTCTCCTTTAGTCTCTTGCTCATTGGAAAGATTTGATTCTATAAAAGATTTAATATAAAAAAATTTGAGATGTTTTGTCTTTAAATGCTTGTTATATTAGCATTGAAGTTTTAGATTGCAAATAAACAATGCCGTTATTGGTGACTGTTCCTCCCTCAAAGTAAATGACACTAATCCCTGCTCTACAGTAAGTAGGTCACGGTCAACAAGATTGAATTCTCTGGAAAAACTCGTACTAGCAAATTCTAAACCTTGTGATGTTATTTCAGGATATTTCTATGGAAAGTGAACCAAACCCTACCAGACTGTGTTCTTGATGAGAAATGATGCAAATATTCTCTTGGGGTAAACCCTTCTTCGCCATCTTGAGTTTTGACCCAATACCAATCAGCATCATCTTTATTCAACACTGTCACCCTCTCCCCTTGGTGTACGCTGATGTCGTCCTCTTGAACTGCCTCAAAATCAAACAGCACTGTATACTGACCATGATTTCTCTTGATAAACTCTTGAAATGATTCGCTGTTTAAAGTCTGAACACTTGCACTGTCACTGCTGCTTTCTAGAAGTACAGCAGATGAAAATTTGTCACCTTATACAGTACATTGTCATCACAAAAAAAACACCCTTGCCATGTTCACACATGGTTCTTAACCCATTGAGCCCCAGTGCACCCTACTTTTTTTTTACTTGTCTAATACCAGATGATTTTACTTGTCAATGGGAAAGCTCTGCAGCTTAATGGGTTAACCAAAAAAATCTGACAATGTCTCTAGTTAACCCATTAAGCCGCAGTGCGCGCTACTTTTTTTTTACTTGTCTAACAGCAGACGATTTTACTCGTCAATGGGAAGCTCTGCAGCTTAATGGGTTAAACTCACTGATTTGCAATGTGCCCTAGCTAATGCACCCTGCTTTGTTGTTTTAGTCTATGTAATGCCAGGCTATTTGCCAATAGAAAATTGGTCCAGGTGTTAATACATGTAGGTTAACCATTCAGCCAATAAGGACCACTTAACAGACACCATCTCTGTACAACTATATGAACTAAACTACAAAGGTCTAGAGCAGTTACCTATAGCATTGAAATGTTTAACATGCTGTGATAACAATTGTTCACCATGTTTTGATTTCACAGTCGACTCTGCAGTTGGTATACAGAAAGTATAAGGTATGAATCCTTCACGACCATCTTCTGCTACCACGAATCTCCACTCATTCTCTTGGTACAGAGCTTTCACCATTTGTCCGCGTTTCACTTCCAGTTCATCATTCACACACGGGGTGAAGTCTTGAACAACAATCATTTTCGTTGGTTCAAATTCCACTCCCTCTTGTTTTGCCAGTTCTTGGCTGCTTTTAACATGCTGGTCTAGCATACCACCTTCAATGCAAAATGGTCAAACATTTTGTAACCTTGCCACAGATTTCATTGGTGTGTGGGCCAGTCCAGTGCAAAAGGACACGAGAAATTTATAATAATCTCTGAATTGAGGGAATTGACTGTATATACAGCATATGTATTAAATAAATTTATATTTGGCTGACAAAATATCAACAATAAAAGAGCAATTTAGAACTACATCTTGCAAGATAGCCGACAAACGATGCAAGAGCAACTTGGCATCTTACAAAATATCTTTATCTGACAATTGTCCTGAGTTTTGGAGGACAGCCATTTTGTAATACTTCATTCCATAATATCAGGATCACTTAAAGTTGTCTGAGATCTCTTGGAATGTTAATACAGCGTGTAAAAGCATGTACTATTGTCAAAACATGCACTTGGTTAAAAACTTCGTTTTTATTTAAACTTACGTTTTCGGCGTTTGTGACTGAGAAAACCTGTTGGGCACAGGAAAGCCATTGCAAAAGAATGTATAAAATATTACTAAAGAGTTGAAGAAAGCTTAAAAATCGGCATTTTGCTTCGCGGTCTGAATTTTCATTTGGTTTGTTTACATTTTACATTAGTTGCGCAATTTGTCAACCACAGCAACCCAAGAAATACATTCGAGTTTCACTATAAAGGAATGCTGGTCAAGAAGAAAATGTAAATTCTTTTTATCCGATGTGCCATATGTTGAAACTTATGGGAGTGAGCCAATAATACAAAACTACATCCCTCAATTCTCTTTATTTGCCTCCACATACAAGACTACTACATGTAATGAAAATAATTGATATTATTTTCTAATTCGCAAATAATTCGACAGCGTGCTTATTAGCAATTAACGCGCGTCATAAATAGCCAATTGCGCGCGCTGCAAATCGGTGAGACGATGGCGCAAAGTGGAGGAATGGTTAAGGCAAAACAAAATATTTAAAATGGTCCGTTTGAAAAAAAGCTACCATAGTACACAGGGTGAAAGACACGTGACCATCTAGCAATGTTGAGAGATGGTTACAATGTACAATTCGAGGGCACCATTGTACGGACAGCACAAGAACCGACGTTACTGAGAGAGAACAATATTCAACGTGACCAAGGATGGTCTTGGATTGTGTTGTTTGCAGCATTTCTAACGTTGTTTATTACAAATGGAATGCATGCATCCTTTGGTATCTTGTACGCGGCACTTATCTCTCATTTCGGCTCTGGACGCGAAGAAACAGGTAGACCAGTCATTTATAACGTTTTTTGCAGAAACATTGTTTCCCAGGGAACAGAGCAAACTAGCAAAACATTGTTTCCTAGCTATGTTTCCAGAAGGTGGACAAACCAAGAAACATTGTTTGCTAATTCCTAGCCATGTCTCCCGAAGGTGAACAAACCAGGAAACTTTGTTCCCCAGCCATGTCTCCCGAAGGTGGACAAACCAGGAAACATTGTTTCCTAGCCATGTTTCCTGAAGGTGGACAAACCAGGAAACATTGTTTCCTAGCCATGTTTCCCAAAGGTGGACAAACCAGGAAACATTGTTTCCTAGCCATGTTTCCTGAAGGTGGACAAACCAGGAAACATTGTTTCCTAGCCATGTTTCCTGAAGGTGGACAAACCGGGAAACATTGTTTCCTAGCCATGTTTCCCGAAGGTGGGCAAATCAAGAAACATTGTTTCCTAGCCATGTTTCCCGAAGGTGAACAAACCAGGAAACTTTGTTCCCCAGCCATGTCTCCCGAAGGTGGACAAACCAGCAAACATTGTTTCCTAGCCATGTTTCTCCAAGGTGGACAAACCAGGAAACATTGTTTCCTGAATTTGTTGGAATTTTTATTTAGGATTTTGCATTGATATCTTACAATGATAAATATTATTGATAAATATTATTTTCCATTCATTTTCCAGCTTGGATCGGTTCAATCTCTCTTGGTCTGCTGTGTTTCTTCAGTCCAGTGGCGAGTGTTCTCATAGAACAGATTGGATGTCGCGCTACAAGCATTATAGGCGCGTTCTTGTGTTCCCTAGGGTTCCTTATAACATCGTTTGCAACTGGGATAGCGCTGCTTTATTTCTCTCATGGTCTACTCTTTGGCCTGGGTACTAGTCTTACGTATACAGCGGCAATGACGGTTGTTGGACGAAGTTTTGAGAGACGGAGAAATATTGCAACAGGTTGGTTACAGGCGCTTGCGGGTTAGGGTGAAATTAGGACCATCCTAATATACAGCCTGCTCGCGGGTCAGGGTGAAATTAGGCCGGCCATCCTAATATAGAGCCTGCTCGCATTACAAGGTTGATAACGGTAACAGACTTGCCACAATTTGTTCCAACAAGACTAATACATGCTGTTCGTAACAAGTTGCCATGAGCTTGTTGTCGTCAATTTGTTAACAACTTGTTACGTATGAAATCCGACTAGTTGGAACAACTTCTGCGAGTGTGTTGGTCACATCATCCTTGTTACAAGATGATAACAACTTGTTCCAGACTTGTCACAACAACTGGGAGCTAGTAGTGCGAACACATCTTGTTGTTAAAGTGTGAGATTTTTACGATGTAATTGAAACCTTTGCGATCGGTCATTCCTGACATGTTTAACATTTATCCCTAGGCCTCTGCACATCGGGAAGTCAATTCGGTGGAATTTCTCTGGCGCCTCTTTCGCAAGTTCTATTTGACCGTTTGGGCTTTGCAAACACGTTCCGTATATTCGCTGGTCTCTTGTTGGTTGTTGCAATATCCAGTTTAGTATACAGATCAGAGCTGAGCGGAAATACGTCACGACCAACCTCCGCCAAGAAGTCCCCGAAGGAGATGCTAAATGTTTGGAAGAGCAAGGCCTACATTGTCTGGGCACTGGGTACTACAATGGTGACGCTAGGCTACAATATACCACGCTATACATTGGTAAATTGCATTGTAGATTATTTCATAGAGACTGCACACCTTTGTCATTTATTACGTTGTTGGTCCGGTGTTACTTAGGGAGGAAACCTAACTTAAACTGACATTGTTTATACTGGACAGCTCTGTCAGTTATAAACTGTTCTTCCTAGAAATCCAGTATGGACAAATCCCTTATTGATCCATTGTTACTACAAGAGGAAACCTAACTTAAACAGACATACTGGATAGCTCTATCAGTTATTAAGTGTTCTTCCTAGACATCCAGTATGGACAAATCCCTTATTGATCCATTGTTACAACAAGAGGAAACCCAACTTAAATTGACATTGTTTATACTGGATAGCTCTATCAGTTATTAAGTGTTCTTCCTAGACATCCAGTATGGACAATCCCTTATTGATTCATTGTTACTACAGGAGGAAACCTAAGTTAAACTAACATTTTTATACTGGATAGGAATCGTACTCCAGTCACAGAGAGGAAAGGCTCTCGCCACCGTGCCGCGAACATCTTGAACCAGAAAAGGCTCCAAACTTCATTATCATTAACAGATTCTGTTTATATTCACAGGCAAAATATGCAAGTGACCAAGGAATCTCTAAAGATGCATCAGCCTGGCTGGTGTCTTATCTCTGCGCCTCCTCTGCCATCGGGCGAATTACATTTGGACGTTTGTGTGAATGGGTACCTAAACTCTACTTGTGTCAAGCATGCATTATCGGTTGTGCATTCTCTGCGTTTCTCTATCCATTTCTCAAGTCGTATTTAGCTCTGGTGATCACAGCTATCATATTTGGCCTTCCTGATGGCGGTTTCGTCGCATCCCTATCTATGGTTACCACTGAGATAGTTGGTCCTGAAAAAATGGTTGAAGGTTTTGGATTCATGTTGTTTTGTCAGTCGTATTCCAATGTTATAGGCCCTCCTCTATCAGGTAACGATATTGCTAAATTTAATTAATGTTGCGGATTACATACAAAGTGGAATTTAAGGTCGGTTTACACTTCGGTGCAATTTAGCTGCGATTTTCTTCTTTTGATGGATGTGAACGAGTGGATGAGTAATGAATGTTCACATGACGGTTCATATATACTCACAACTCTTCCACTCGTTTATATGAAACGCAAGAACTCCCTTTACAAATGCCAGAACTCCCTTTTCAAATGGCAGAACTTGGTTTTCAAATGGCAGAATTTGGTTTTCAAATGCCCAGAACTACGTTTTCAAATGGCGGAACTTGGTTTTCAAACGGCAGAACTTGGTTTTCAAATGCCAGAACTACGTTTTCAAATGGCAGAACTTGGTTTTCAAATGCCAGAACTACGTTTTCAAATGGCGGAACTTGGTTTTCAAACGGCAGAACTTGGTTTTCAAATGCCAGAACTACGTTTTCAAATGGCAGAACTTGATTTTCAAATGCCAGAACTACGTTTTCAAACGGCAGAACTCCGTTTTCAAAGTCATCCGTAAGAATAAGAAAATTGCGCAGCAATATTTGCAAGTGTAAATGGGCCTTAACTGTATGCTATTCATCTCTGTTACCAATAACTTGAAGAAATAGCCGTTACTAGGCTTCTAGGAGGAACAGTTTAGAACTGACAGAGCTGTCCAGTATAAATAAAATTAGTTTGGCTGTAGTTACGTTTGACCAACAAGGCCTTAATGGCTCTTACTGGACCTAACTCTGCATAAACTAGTTTCGGTTTCCTCTTGTAGTAACACGGGACCAGCAAAGGATGGTTGTTACTGGACCTCTAGGAAGAACAATATGATAGAACTATCCAGTACAAATAAAGAAGTTGTGCCTCAGTACTTTTTTAAATGTGATGAAATTTTGTGTTTTTTCTAGGCATGTTGTACGACACTTATAAATCGTACAAAGCCGCGTTTTGTTTCGCTGCGGTACCAGAGATTATCGGATTCTTGATGTTATTCCTGATTCCTTATTATCGCCGTAATCAAGTGAAATACACGCACGAGATTGAATACGGCAGTAACAGCGGGATAATGATGAACGGTAATGGTGCTGCGAGTACACTAAATCCTATCTCTGATGCTCCTATATTACCAGCGGTGGAGCAGCAAGGTGAATATAATGTCGTGATTAATCTGACATCGGATAATCCCGATATACGTTTGGTCAATGTGGTTATACATAAAGCTGGAGGTAGTGAAACACCTGGAGTGACATGTACTGATGGTGAAGCTGATGACCAAATCCTAGATGGTGGGATTGTTAACAAAGCTGTCGAAGAAATAGAAGTGCCCGTATGTGCTGGGGAGATGCCCGTATGTACATCAGCGCTTGTGACCGAGAGCGCAGTAGAGCAACCGAGTCCTGAGGCCGGAGCTTCATCAATCGTAGTTGAACCTGAGGTTATTATGCTATCTGCATTGAGTCCAATGAAAAGCAGCAGTACCCAGACAGTAATACATGATTCCAGCGCGGAGACAAAATACGCAAACACCAGCACGGTGAATGACGACCGCATCCTCCCCACAGCTTTGGCCTCGAGTGCTTCTCGCGAGAATGTGAGCCAAATTATCGATGTTGAAATTTCAGCTCCTGTACAGAACTTTCCAAGCACACAATTGGTAGCTATAATCTCGAACGAGTCACAAACTGACCCAAGTACAGGAGTGATCAGCTTGGGGCTACAAATAAAGACTTCTAATAAATCCCTCCCTTTAGAGGCGAGTGCATCCGTTATCCAGATTACGTCCAATACAGTGCCACTGTCCAATGGACACGAGAATCCAGTCGAAGAGATCATTCACTTACAGACTGAACAGGATGTGCCGAAAATCTCCCCTCCTCCTTCACATAAACATCACGTGAACAACATGAAGGCCGAAGTGCATCACGTGACAAATGCTGACGTCAGTAGCGGTTGTCATGACAGTGTCGTGGACAACTCACCTGAAGCGATGTTAGCAGAGTTGGATACACTTGTTCAAGGAAGTGAGCTACCACCCAAGCCCTGTTTAACATCTCCATTTACTCCAGATGTAAATATCCAGGAAGCATCTCTTATGAAATGTACTGGATTGGAACCTGGACTCGCTGGATTCACTCCGGACCCTGGACTCAATCAGAATCAGGAATCTTTAATGTTGTCCACTACCTTCATTCCTGAAATGACCAGCCCGTGTTTATCAACAGCCTTCTTTACGGAACCTCCACATATGAATAGCATTAACGACGTTTTAACACAAAAACAACTACCGGAGCCTCTCAAACCAACAAGTCTAAGCTCCGTAAGAGGAAACGACCAACAAGGCAATCAGAGCCAAGATATGCCTCCTGCAACAAGCCCGTTGTCATGTGAGCTAAGCACCGTTATTGCTGACGTTATTCAGAGTCTGACGTCACAACAATCACAGAAGTCCAATAAAGAATCAACTATTTCCAATATGGCTGACAATTCTCAATGTACTTCAGAGCCCACAGACCATGCTGAAAAGAAACAAGCAACACTCGTAGAAAACTCGACCATAAAAGAACCTAAGTTAGGTATCAACGTTGAATGCTCAAGCCAGCCCAGCAGTGAGCTCAGTTCTTATTGTAAACTCCAAACATCACTACTTCATTCAATGCAAAGTATTGTGGCCGAAGGCTGTCCTGAGGATGTTGCTTTGCTGGAAGATATTTCAATTGATTTGACTTTAGAAAAAGATCCATCTTTTGCTTCTATTGTTGTAATCGATGACATAGACGAACAGAATAATACCACTGATCTCAACTTTCCATGTATGTCGAATGAACCCGCAGTGTCGCAGGCCAGCAGGGTTTCCGAGCAGGCGCACTTTGCTAATGGTTTAACCCATGAACCATCTATGATGACATCAACTGCCGTTGCAAATCAACCATCACCCGGAGCCACCAGCACGTTTTCATGTCAAGAACAGGGGTTTCTTGGTGTAACCCACGAACCTAGCACCAATACCCCCACCTTAACTCAGGAACAGCACTTTGCTAGCAGAATCTCGAGTGGTTTAGAACATGAAGCAGTTATTATCACATCTAATGCTGTATCGAGTCAAGTGCTGCAGGAACCTACCAGCATTCATCCCAGCGTGATCCAAACACAAGTCTTTCCTTGTGTAGACCATGCGCCTAATATCATCCACACTGGTGTCAATTCAAGTATGATTTCAGGACAAGTACAACCTTTTTCTCCTGATCTTCCACATGAAACAAATACCATGCTATCAACCGTCGTTTCAAGTCAACTACCACGCGAACCTAGCAATACGCATTTAAGCGTGAACCAACAGCAGGCTAGCGGGATTTCGAGTCAAGAACAGCACATTGAGCAGTACTTTACTTCTGGTTTGGCATACGATCCAGCATCCAGTGTCGTTTCAAGTCAACTACCACGCAAACCTAGCAATACACATTCAAGCGTGAACCAACAGCAGGCTAGCGTGATTTCGAGTCCAGAACAGCACATTGAGCACTTCTTTACTTCTAGTTTGGCATACGATCCAGCATCCAGTGTTGTTTCAAGTCAACTACCACATGAGTTTACAAGTACACAGCCCAGCGTGATCCCTGCTGCTCAGGAGCGACACTTTCTTACCGCTACCCGAGAGGCTACACTCACCTCAAGTCAAGAACAGCGTTTTACAGCTCTGATGCACAAACCTGACATTATACCATCCTGTGGTATTTCAAATCAACACGAGCCTCTCCAAGTGCTGACCAACACACATCCCAGCGTTATTTTAGTTCAAGAACTACAGTTTCCTAATGTAACCCAGGAGTGTACCAATGCACATCCTACCGTCAGCCCAACGCAAAAACAGCCATTTCCTAGTGTGGCTATGGAAGCAAGTATTACTCAGCCTGGCGCGATCTCTAATGAGGAGCAAAACGTTCCTTCTCTAACCCAAGAACTCGCCATAGTACTCCCCAGTGGTACAGCTGAGATGGTACTTCAAGATACCATAGTTCTTGAATTGTTTCCTCAAACTGCTGGTCATAATGGTGCTGGCTATGATGCTACTATGTCGCATGAAAAATTGGCCAAACCAATTGAATCTACAAATCCATTTTACCAAGATATAAATCAATGAACACTGAACTTTTAATTCATGCGTTTTACTAAGATGTAATAACTGAACTATTTAGACATTGGACAATTCATATTTAACACACGTTATGCATCTAACAAATCATTCTGATTTTCAATTTTTAGTTTGTTAACCATTGCACCTTTTATATATTGAAGTTTTTACAGTAAATTATCATATTACTCTCGTTAGTTCCAAAACATTTCCTTAAAAGTAGTGACAAAAAAGGAAAAGCCCTGGGAACGAGGTTGTGAAAGTAGTAGATTTGGTTGGGTATTATAACATGAAGTATTTTGGGGCAATTTACAGAAAGTTCAAAATCAAAATGGCGGAAAGTCAAAGAGCGTGCATAAAAAGTGAAAGGTTTAAATTTTTTGCAAAATGAAATTTCGTGTACGTTTCGGAAAGCAGCGCTTTGTTGTTGAAGTTCACCACGAAAATGGTACGGTTGAAAATATTAAAGAAGCTATTTGCAATGCTTTGTCTATAAGGTATATTTAAAATATTTGTTTTTGCATTTACAAATATCTTGAAATATATATATTATAATAATTATAATATATTAAAGAGCTCCTAGTTGTATATAAAATATTACAAAATTATGCCTGGTTAGTAAAAATTTCTTTTATTTCTAGAGATACTTCATTAATACAAGTTTCCTTGAATGGGGTAGATGTTATAGAGGAAAATGACAGAAGTCTGAGCTCACTTGGTTTGGTGAATGGTGATCTGGTATATGCTCTTTCATCAAAGCCAGATGACAGTTTAACCTCTGATAAAAATGTCATGATGCTGTCTCAGTTAATTGACATGGGATTTGATAAGGTATATTATATAATACCTTATTAAATTCTAATCGTTTAATTGGCTGTTTATGGTCATGTGATATTGAATAGAAAATTCCATTTCCCAAGAGTGCAATGGAACACGTTCCATTGCACTCTCCGCGAGTGCAATGGAATAAAACGTATAGTACAATTGCACTGTTTGTGTTTTCGATAAATCGCATCCCTCAAAATGCTTCTCATACGAATTTATTAGTCTATTTAAACTATTTTGGTATTATATAAAACAGATAATGAATGTTTCTTCGTGCAATGGTAAGAATATTTTCATTCGGTGAAAGATGGAATGTTCCATTCAACTTGGCTGTCGCCTCGTTGAATGGAACATTCCATCTTTCACCGAATGAAAATATTCTTACCATTGCACGAAGAAACATTCATTATTTGTATACTAATCCACAGTCTGTATATCTGGCCAAACAATTTGTTTGCATAAATGTATACAATTGGCATGTTTTCAATTGACGAATTATAAACACACTTTATTAATACAGGAGTCAGCTGAACATGCTCTTTTGCAAGTGAGCTACACAAGTATCGATGCTGCAATTGATATTATTACAAAAAGTGATGTTACGAAGGCCCAAACCTTGCATGATACGTCAGTTGATGATAGTTGTAACCAACCATCAACTTCTGGAACAAGTAATATCATGGACGACGCTCACCATATTGTGGACAATGTTTGCAACCCTGTGTTTTGTAGAGATGGAGTTTCTACGACACTTGAAATGTTGTACAATACTGCTGGTGTAAAAACTCATCACCATGCAGTGTTTGTTCTCATTCATGCTTTGATGCTTGAATCTGGATTTTGTTTAAAGGTACTAGGTTATGATTTAACCACTACCATCATTACTACCACCATCATCATCACTAACAAACCATCATTATTAATGCACCATTATCATCACCAATGCTATTATCACCATCATGCTCACCATCATCCTTACCATCACCGTCATCGTCACCATCACTACGATCATTGTTATCACCATCATCATCACCACCACGATCATCCACGACCATCATCACAATCCTCGCCACCATCAGCACCACCATCATTATTGCCATCACCATCATCCTCACCACCACCATCATCCTCACCACCACCATCCTTATCACCACCACCATCATCCACGACCATCATCATCACAATTCTTGCCACCATCAGCACCACCATCATCATTGCCATCACCATCATTGCCATCACCAGTCACCACCATCATGATCTATCACCACCATCATCCTTATCATGACAACCATCATGGCATTAGGGTGAATTATTACTTTATGAGTTAGACTCTTCATTCTACCACTTTTGTAATTGTTAGAACGACAATGAAAGTCACAAAACACCGGAAGGTTTGCCAGTTGGATGGAACAATGCTAATGTGGTAAAATTGTCATATATACACAACTTAAGTTCGTCCATCTGCTGTCAACTTGTGTTTACTTCTCTTGGACCCTTTATCTATGCACATGGTATGTATATTTTTGTTATACACATTTTTAGTTGCATAATTTATAGTTGTCTTACACTGTCTTAACCAGTAGAGCAACATGATTAAAGGTAAAAAATGTCTCAAAGTTTGCGTTTGCATGCATTTCTACCTTTTGCATTCACTATTGTGTTTTAGTTTGGTCAGAGGAAACACAATCGAATGCTTATGAAGTGAAATTAGTTGTTTCACAATATATCAAAGGCGACGTCCCATTAGTCGCGGGTAAGTTATGTTATGTTGTTGCTGAGTTCACTTTCTTATTTGCCACTCACACACTTCCTTAATTTCAGGTGCAAAGTCAATTTATAAAAACTTACATAAAGTATCCAGAGTTGTCAAGAATAATTTGGTTCATCCACTGCTGGCTGACATTCAATCTTGTAAGCGTGTTCTTCGCATGCCCATCAAGTAGAAGGCAATCTTCAAGTACCCTCTAGTTCATTATGTGTCATTTTATAGTTTGATTCATTATGCATGTGTAACTGTTTTTCAATCAATATTTTAGACCTTGGCATTACCTCCGCTTTTTCATTGAATGGACTTCCTCCTGAGATACAGGTGAGGCTATCAGTGAAATACAGTAGTATAATCGTAATTAAATTTTCTTTCAAGAAATGATGCACGCAAGTGTAATAATGTTTGACTTCGCTTTTAGCTCATGATATTGAGTCATCTAACTGCAGCAAGTCTTGTTTCTCTATCTGCAACGTGCAAAGCTTTCATTGTCGTCTGTTCTGATGAGAATCTCTGGCAGTTCTTCTGTCAAAGAGATTTTGGTATGTAGACGATTACATTACGTCAGATTTGGTCTGTAAGGCATGTTTTCAAGCTGCAATTACTTGCTACGTTGTCGAAGCCATCAGGAAAATGTTGTGTAATGTTTAAACTATAGGCCTGACATTCCTTTGTAGGTATAGAGAGTAACAGAGAGAACAGTTGGAAAAAGGTTTAGTATTCCTAGACAGATCCAGTTGTATGCCAAATAAATACAAGTTAAAGATGAATGTATTTGATTATTTTACAATACTTTACAATTTTTAACATGCTTCATTCTGCCTTCACCCAATACTGCCCTGCCTTCACAAGTCAAACCGCTGACCAATCCCATTGAAAATGTTACGAAGTAGTGTAGGAACTTAAAAGCAGTGAGTTCCCTACCTTCAATAACATACCACTCTTACAAACCAGTGTTTCCTTAAGAATATTTATTTTACAGCAATACAAAGTACTTTACAAACGACGGCAACAGCTCGAGAGAGACAGATCAGAGGCAACTTTCTTCCCTGAATTTCCACTTGGTGGCATTCCTGGATTTAATCCATTCTTGCCTCGAGTACCTCAGATCTTGGGTAAGTTAAATGGACCATTTGCATTATAGACTAAATTTTGATCTAAACAAATAAGTATAGACAAAAATTTCATCACAGCTTGAAAGAGCATCACAAAATTAGTAATATGCCAAAGTTTCGTTGCGGAATGTTGTAAAATGCGGATAATATAGCCTTGCGAAGTTTGCCGTTTTTCAGTCATTTTGTATTACAAACGGGAAATTGACAGCCCCAAAGGGTATTGGGCTGTCAATTTCCACCGCGTAATGCAAAATGACTGAAAAACGGCAAACTTCGCAAGGCTATATTATCCGTATTTTTTCGCAACGAAACTTTGGAATATTACTAATTTTGTGATGCTCTTTCAAGCTGTGATGAAATTTTTGTCTAGACTTGTTTAGATCAAAATTTAGTCTATAATGCAAATGTCCATTGACGTCCAATAACTATATGAAGCTTGTAAACAGTTTTACTATACCATTTTCCCCAGCTAATTTCAGTTTTTTCTAACGGACCGTATCGCATAACAAGTTATCAGTTCATAAAACCAATGATATTGAAGGAACTAGATTCTGTTCCAAAATATCACCAACTCGAATCGACTTGACCGCGTAGCTCAGTTGGCAGAGCATTGGGCTAGTCTCCCAAAGGTGGTCGCCGGGTTCGATTCCCACCGTGGTTAGGCAAACTTTTCAGCTTGCTTGCCCGGTGTGGATGCACACTCAGAATAACATCGCAAACATAGTATTATTCTTTAAATCGAAGTCAAAATATGAAATTTCGGCACACTTCTTACAGACCGCGCAGACAAAAACAATTCTTTGCTAGCACAGGACGTCACTACGAGTCATTAGGCGCCATCTTGGTTGATTTTAAACTTTCGTCAAGCCGTTTACAGTGAAGTAGTTGAGTTAATTTAACATTTTCTGGTTTGTTTTGAAAACATGTTACTGTATAGGCAATTCCAGCTTTTAGTTTATGCGTGCAGGGGACGATGGGAAGTAAGGTATCACATTGCTGATTATGCTGAAAAAATAAAAATGGTAGCCTTGTAAACACGGAGTGATAGCTTATATTTCGGTTGTTTCGGTAGTTTTTATTGAAAATTTTCAGCAAAATCGGCAATATGATACCTTATTTCCCATCATCCCCTGCAGGCATAAACTAAAAGCTGGAATTGCCTATTATGGATAGTTTACGGTCTTTGGCTATACGACGAAGAATGAAGAATATGAATTTTATATTACGAAAGTCACCGAACTGTGGAATCGCATCAAAAATTCGTATATCGACCACTCCCACAAACGTCTACGACCACGCCTACATTCGACTACATAGTTTTGCATGTTTACAATTCTAATTTTGAACAGCCAATCAGGTTCTTGGTAATTGGCTGTTTAAAATTAGAATTGTAAACGTGCAAAACTATGTAGGCGCGGTCGTAGACGTTTGTGGGAGTGGTCGATATACGAATTTTTTATGCGATTCCACAGTTCGGTGACTTTCGTAATAGTTGCCTCGTGTGTTTTGAAAATCAACCAATATGGCGTCGATTGCAAACGAGCAATTGAAAGGGACTGGAACCAATAGCTCCATCTTTGACTTCACTTTCACACCAGATATATATATATAGAGTTTATAGAGTTCACTCAGTGAAACCAACTTCTATAACTACTGGGTACTTTACAGTTTACCGCACCCGTGTATCGCAAGTATTTGATGGCGTGTGTTCTGATGCCGAGTTTTCCCGTTCTGTGTTTTGATTGGCGTATATATTCAGTGATTTACTCCGGTACGGTAAAGTGTAAAATTTCCCTTAAACTAAGTGCAGAAAATATCCTCATTTTCAGGTGGTCCTCACGACCTGTTTCCAGATTTTCTCACTGGTCAACCGAGAGGCGCACCTGCGCTGAGAATTTCCGATCCAGAAAATAGATCACGGTCAGATTTGAGACTAAGAACTGGCGACAGATCCACACGGGGGACATTCTTTGCTTGATTGACAGTTTGTAGATATCGGACATTGTTATGACCATTGATGGTTTTCAGTAAAACCCTGTGGATGAGAGTTGATGAGAGTTGGTAGTCACGCATTGTTACAGGGGACATTTTAAGCTCTAGATTAACAAAATAAAGCTTTGATGAGTGTTCCAACTATGTTTTAACTTCAATAAAATACATGATAGTGTTGGGAAAGCATTAAGAACAGCTAACCACGATCACGTGACTGTCAACTCTCATGCACTCTCAGCCTCGTTTCATCCTGGCTTAAGCGATACAAGTAACAGAAACTTCAGAAATGTTAACATTTTAATATATAGGAGCAAGAAAATTTAACTGCATCACTCAATTCTACTTAATTGCCTCCAAGTACAAGACTACAACATGAACGAGAGGAAATAAAATTTTCTCATTCTGATAACTGCTGATTGACCACTATATCTGCTGTACAAATAATAATGTTCAGTGAAACCTTCCTATTGTTGTCGATGTGAAGGATTTTTGCGAAAGGAAATTGAAAAATGTTACTCTATTTATTTTATATTTTCTTGCAAAATATCTTAAAAAAACAAGCATTGCAAATAATTAAAATCTTTAACCAGAAATTATTTTCATCCATAAGTGAAACATGAATGAAACGTTAAGATTCACGTTTACAGAAAGCAGCAAACAGCAAACTTCTGAACGCGTTTGAAGGTAAGTTTACAAGTTGATATATCGCAGGATGCACAGCTAAGTAGCTAATTCGTGCTTCAGTGCACAAATTAAATTGTCTTGATTTCGAACAGGTATAATAACTGTTGACCTTTGAGTACGTTTTGAAGTGTGCCGTTTGTGGTATTTATTTGTTTCTTGAGGACAATAGGATGGATGTAATGATATTGAAAAGAAAACACTATTGCTTCCAGGACAAGTGAAGATAGACTAAATTATGTATTTGGAAATTATGTAAATCATGTATTTAGCAACAGATTATCGTGCGCATAACCTGTAGTTGTGGTGAAAATGTTTTGAAAACATTTTATATTTAGAATAAATGTTTGTAGTTACTATAACAATTCTTATTTGTTTTCACGCACTTTTACTCTGAGGCGAACGCCATTACAGAAGAAGAATTTCACAGCCGAAGCTGCAGTCTCGCAAGCGATGAAAACTCGAAGTGAATCATGACTTTTATTTGGAGTTTTGTCTTCACATCTCTTTTGCTATGTAGAAGTGTTTGGGCTCTCGCTTGTCATCGCGAAGAGGAGTTTGTCAAAGTAGAAGGTATGGGGGAAATAAGGAAAGTTTAGGCAATGTCTTAACATTGTTAACCTTAGTTTGATCTGAAAATTACAGGACCTTACTGAAAAATAGATTATTATTCTACAATAATCTGTCATGATTTGTGTCTGAACTACCTGAAAAAGATATCTCAAACGTGGTGGTCCAGTGTAGGTAGTATTCTGCAGTAAGCTGTCGTGGTTTGTGTCTGAACTACCTGAAAAAGATATCTCAAATGTGGTGGTCCATTGTAGTTAGAATTCTACAATAAGCTGCCGTGGTATGTGTCTGAACTACCTGAAAAAGATAACTCAAATGTGGTGGTCCATTGTAGTTAAAGTTCTACAATAAGCTGCCGTGGTTTGTGTCTGAACTACCGGAAAAAGTTGCAATTCTATTTCTCTACGTAGGGAATTTACCAACAATCAGCCCGATAAAGACTACGACGGTCGCCGCAAGAGCGTTCTGTTCTATAGAATGTGTGGACTTCTCTGGTTGTAATTCATTCGCATATCTAACCGCTACAGGCACAGACAACTGCCAACTCAGTGCCAGTGCTGATGGCGAATCGACAACTGCCGTGTCTGTTGTATATAAAAAAGTACCTGCAAAGTCTGTCGTAAGTACAACAGTTTGTTGAAGTTACCTCAGGGACTCGGTGCAGGTATTCTATAATGGGGTTTGTGCCCGAACTATCTGAAAATATCTCGAATGTGATGGTCTAGTGTAGGTAGCATTCTACAGCGAGAACTTGAGACCAAAAAGTGAAGGCAAAGATAGAGCTATTGCCTTATTGGACGTCAGTTTCAGTCCCTTTCTATTGTTTTTTTCTGCGCGGTCTGTAAGGAATGTGCCGGAATTTCGTAATTGACATTTGCGTAATAGACAAAATTTTGATCTAAACAAGTCTGGACAAAAATTTTATCACAGCTTGAAAGAGCATCACAAAGTTAGTAATATTCCAAAGTTTCGTTGCGAAATGTTGTAAAATGCGGATAATATAGCCTTGCGAAGTTTGCAATTTTCAGTCATTTTAGATTACAAACAGAAAATTGACAGCCTCAAAGGTCTCAAAGCGTATCGGGCTGTCAATTTCCCTTTTGTAATCTAAAATGACTGAAAATTGCAAACTTCGCAAGGCTATATTATCCGCATTTTACAACATTTTGCCACGAAACTTTGGAATATTACTAATTTTGTGATGCTCTTTCAAGCTGTGATAAAATTTTTGTCCAGATCAAAATTTAGTTTATTACGCAAATGGTCAATTGACTTTAAAGAATAATACTATAGTTTATGAATTCAAAACTTGATTAGCAATACAGTGTTTTCAACCTTCCAGTATGAGTATGGATTATAACGGTCGGCTATTTGCCGAACAAAAACACTAAATGACCGATTAATTTTATTCTGCGCGGACATTTTGACCGAGCAAATGAATTAAAAGTATATTATTTGATTAGTACTAGCTGTTTAAAAAGCATAAAAGGAACACAAAACGTTCTCTTGGCTTTGCTGTGAAAAGCAACAAAATGACTTCACAAGTTCGTGGTACCAGACCATTGTTAGTACCAGACATGCAGAACATTTTAAAACAGAATCTGTGCAACCAAGAACTAATTTTCTGTCGCTTACCAAACGTTGAGTAATGTGATTGATCATGCGGGAAGTGATCAACACAGCAGTATGAGCGTAAATATTGCTGGGCGACGATTATTATACTGACATTAGCCAATGTCCATGCAACTGTCAGACATTTGTCAGACTCAAGCAAAATGGTTATAATCCACACTGCTGAACCTTCATAGCGTTGGACGTCAATTTCCGTTCTCTCGGCTTCACTTGTTCCTATAGGCCGAATAACTAAACTTGCTCACTGGTGCTAGGTTGCCTTGAGCTTGCAATGTCTTGCATCGTGTGACGTTATAGGAACATATCATAGCTTAATCATTAACAATCTACGTTTCAGGGTTGTTCTAGCAGTCCTTGTTTGAATGGGGCCACCTGTGAAGATGTCTGTCAGGCACCATTATATTACATCTGTCATTGTCCCTCGGATAAACAGGGCAGGGACTGTGAGTGGGACATAGGTAAGCGATGTTGGGAGCTCAGTGGTTACCGAGTCACGTGGGAGAAGAGCGTTTACAGTCTGTGATAAGGGATGGCAATTTAGAACTGATAGAGCTATCCAGTATAAATAAAGTTAGTTTAGTTTAGGTTTCTTCTCGTAGTAACACAAAATCAATAAGAGATGATCCTTACTGGATCTTTAGGAAGAACAGTTTAGAACTGATAGAACTTTCCATTATACATAAAGTTTAGTTAAGTTGGATATACTGGATCTTCATTTGCTTGGAATGACAACAAACATTTCAATAATTATTCCAGCCTGCGTTGTTGAAGATTGGTCGTCCGCATTTGATAATCCTGGAACGTACCGATGTTCTGGACAAACAACCCTTATGGGTGGCTTTGAAAGGTGGGATTGCGTTGAACTTCACTGTCTTGAGAGAGTAACATGTTGCCCTGTTCAAGTCGAATACAGCCAGGAAGACCATGTGTGTGCATTGGCTGATTGGTATAACTCCTTTGGAACGTAAGTTTGATCATTATCAATAGTCTTGAAACCCGCCCAAAGTCTTTCTTCTGGTTTTTTTTTGGTTTTTTAATGAAGCCTTGTGCTCGGTGGAGACAACAAGTTTTTGTTCGATTTAAAACACTAGCAGTAGCAGGACGCGACACCTGAGTGTCTCACTTGTATCTATGTCAAGCACGGATACAAGTTGTTCTAGCAACTTTTCGTAGTTTACAACTTTACAAGTTGTTCCAACAACTTTTTGTCGTCCTCCAATTCAACAGTTTATCAACAAGTTGTCAACAAGATGTGTTCGCAACAGGCTTGTAGCAAGCTTGTCAACAAGATGTAACAATGCTGTTATTTTTTCAAATGGCTACAAGGTTGCCACTCACAAGCTTGCTACAAGCCTGTTGCGAACACATCTTGTTGATAAGCTTGCTACAAGCCTGTTGCAAACACATCTTGTTGACAAGCTTGCTACAAACCTGTTGCGAACATATCTTGTTGACAAGCTTGCTACAAGCCTGTTGCGAACATATCTTGTTGATAAGCTTGCTACAAGCCTGTTGCGAACATATCTTGTTGATAAGCTTGCTACAAGCCTGTTGCGAACACATCTTGTTGACAAGCTTGCTACAAGCCTGTTGC